GTTGTGTTTGTTTTTTAAGGTCAGGATGGGGGGGGGGAATAGAATCTGGGCCTGCGGTGTATTGATCCGACTTTTTTCCAAATAAAATTAATACGGCACATCCAACACAAATAGGTCATTTCAGTGCCGACGATTCGAGATGCCACTAGGATTAACATACAAATTGTTAGAAGACAGAGGGGAAGGAGAGGTATAGATACGGGCAATGGATGTTTGACATGAAAGCAAGAGCAAACCACACCAGAGCACCCACCCATCCACCCACACAGATATATCCTGTGAGTGTTTTCCCCCAGGTATTCTGAATCATGAGCCTTTGATAGAATTACGAAACGCGGGATTGGAAGAACCAAATGGAAAATATACGCTACCAAGTACCTCCGGCTTTCTCGTGGCAAGTCTGAAACTCAGGTTGACCTGAGCGGAAATATCGAAGCATCCAGGTAATTTAGATAATTAGCCCTATCCGTACCGAATGGCATCATGCAGAAGAGTTAACGCTCAGATGCTACTGGATCGCTAACAACAACAACAACAACAACCTTATCCGTACGCCGTGTTTTATTATCGTATCCATACGACGTGGGGAACTCAGTGCCACCACTTTCCAAAGAGGAAATTTACTCGTTGATGCGATCCGTACGCTTTGCATAGCAGTCTGTCAAAATCATTTTTTGAGAAATACTGAAAGTTTCAAAGAGATCTTCGTACTAGAAGTATTCTAAAATGTGAAGAATACAACCCTGGGGGGTACAAAATGACCCCAGGGCGTACGGATAGGGTCAAGAGACTGGATTCGACCTTGCCTGTCAGGGCCAACTTAGAAGGAAACAACATCCAAGCAGGAAGACCAAGATACTCGATATAACTGTGAAAATTGTGAAATGGTATAGCTTTAACGCCTCTATTAACACTGTTAGTTTAACGTCCATCTCCGAAAGGACCGAGCCAAAAGGGAAATTCGTGTAAAGTGCCTCCTTTCCCAAGGACACAACGTCGGACCGAGCTGAGGCTCGAACCCCCAAACCCGCAATCTCACGATAACGAGCCCGGTAGCCTAACTACTAGACCACCGACGCCACTGTATTTTAGTTTTAGTTTTAGTTTTAGTAAGTGTCTTACGGCACTTGCAACACAATAAGGTCATATAAATGCCGAAGATTAGAGGTGTTACAAGAGAGTAACAAACACAAAAAAGAAGGAGGAGAGATAAGGACGATAGATGGTTGATATGAAAGAAGAAGCAAACCACACCAGAGCATCCGCCAACCACCCACACGCCACTGTATAGTGTATACTTTATACACTTCTGTGTTTGTCGAATAGCAACAATCCCTGTACCAAAAAATACACCAGCACTATCTGTGGTGTTGTAGTTAGGTGCTTCGCTTTCGCACACAGGACACCCGAGTTCGATTCCTGGGGAGGGAGAAGTGTTATCGAGTATCCCGGTCTTCCTGCTGAGATGTTGTATCTCTCCTAGTTGGCCCTGACGACTCTTTAATAATCTAAATTGTGTCGATAGGGGCGTAAAAAACTTCCACAATTTTAGAAAAATGAAACCTAAACACGGCCCAAAATTAGTCTCGTCTGGAGCAAAAACATCCAAGGTTGAACAAGAGTTTTGTGCGCAGAAAGAAAAGAAATTTTAAAAAACCTAAAGAAAACAAAACAACAAGAGAACGTTCCATCAATTCCTTTCTTTTCCTGAGAAAAAAACCCACAAATCAAACCACCAACAACCCCTGAACAAAAGATTATTGTCCAGTCTGGTTCCTGACTCGTCCAATGATCTCTGTGAAACGATTCCCTAATGGCGGCCTTTATGGTACTGGGTTACAAGGGGAGAGCATTCTCTTCCACGGAACAGGGATCGGCTTGCTGGGAGTTGTCGTTCTTGTTTCAGGTTTTCACAAGTCCCTGGTTTATCGTGAAATGTGCTCCCTAAATAGATCAATCTAAACCCTTCCTTCCTTTTCTTTTCCTTTCTTTTCTTTTCTGTTAGATCTGTTTCTTCTTTAGTGGATATTTTTTTTTTTTTTAATTTTTTTGTTGTATTTGTTTGGGGGGGTATTACCTTTTGTTGTTATTGTGGGGTTTAGAATAAGTCAGGGGAGAAGGAAGGGGTGGGAGGGGAAGGGTTGAGATGAGTACGGTACATTTGCGGATGGTGTCTTAGGGATTGAAGTTAGACAAGGAAGGGAGACTGAAAATGTACGGCTGTCAGACTAAAAGCATTCTCTCTCTCTCTCTCTCTCTCTCTCTCTCTCTCTCTCTCTCTCTCTCTCTCTCTCTCCGTTGACCGCCGTAATTC